TTCGGTGATTCCCATGCTATAACAATAGTTTCGGAATAATTTGAGGAATGAGATTATAAAGTAAATGTGGATTGAAATAAGCAAACGGACATCGAGTGATATCTTGGAAACGGAACAAACAATCTTAAGAATGTATCAGATGTGAGATAATCGCCCCCTGACAACGTCAAATGTACCGTGGTAGCAGAAATGCAGGATTTATGAATTCCTTTTGGTTCAAATTGGAAAAACTATTGGAAAAGTCGAAGGTGCTCGTTCTGAAAGTGTTGAAACTGGCATATCGTAAGCATAAATTAAAAGAATAAAACAGCGTAAAGGCTTAATGATTGTTAACAATAAATATACAGGTAGCGCGTGTTGTTGTGCTAACAGATTGAAGAAAATAAGGTAAATGATATTGCTGCATGCACGGAATCGAATACAATTTAGCATGGAAATTCAAGCGAGCGAGCGAGCGAGTGAGCGAGAGAGAGAGAGAGCGAGTGAGAGCATGTGTCAGTGTGGTGCGTATATATGTATATTCACAAGATATAATTTATCAAATTGCCGGGCGAAAAGTGTTTACTTTAAAAATGCGCATTACTCAACAAAATGTGAAGTGCTTAAAATCGAGAAGTGAAGCCACTTATATTTCTTTCTATGCATTTTTCCCCAAAACACGGACGCATTTGTATCGGCGTGAAATGTAAAATGCAAAATGCAAAGACTACAAAATGCATGAGTCGCAACATAATAGTTTTGAGAAAACTGTAACAACACTCGCACACATACAACAATAGCAGCACCAGTACCAGCAATAAAAATCAGAACTTGGTGTTCGTTCGAAAAACGGTAGCAAAGAAAATTGCTGCAACTGCAATGGCAGCGTAGAGTAAGTGCATAGATTCATAGTAAAAGAATGATGAATGAGAAAAATTGCGAGCAAGCGAGAGAAAGGGAAGACTGAAGAAGTAATTGATGTAAGAGGCTTCACCAATCCACCAATTGCCAATTCCGCTCTATGCCATCCACACAAATACACATACACAAATATTTTGTAAATATGTGTACCTAAATTATTACTTAAGGTAATTATAAACGATGTAAAGGTATAGAATTGTAGTGCACTTTTCTTCGTGCTTTTATTCTCTCAATTTTTTTTTATTGTTGTTGTTGCTGCTGACTTCTTGTCTAATGGCTTCACTCTGGCTTGCAATGACATTACATTACTTGATAGCCGCTAATAAAAATAAAATTATTGGTTCTATCATGTATTCGTCGATTGGATAAGGCAGAACCAACAATAACAGCAACAAAAATGTAAAAATCCATCGCATAATTTATTTGCTTAAATGTCATATCGGCTAGTTGGCATATATTATTTGGTATTGTATGAATGATATCTGATTGTTTCCATCGCTCTAAATTTATTTCGTTCTTTTCATAAATAAATTTCATGTAATTTTTTTTTCTCGTTTTTTTTCGTCGCTGTCGTTGGTGTTGTTGTATTGCTGCCTCAATACAGAACAATAAAGACGAAATAACGCATGAATATTGCATTTGTGCGCTAGGGTGTAGCAAACAAATTTTATATTATGTGAACATTTTAGCGGACGACAACTGATTGGAAATGTGGAATTTTTCTAATGCTATTTGCTCGATTGCGTTTTTTTTTTTACTCCAAAACTATAGACAATTTTTAATGGAAATTTCAAGAAACTATTAATATTCAATCAGAGTTATTCAAGTTGCGATAGCATTATCAACTGTTTTTCTTTGACAAAAAAAAATATTTGTCTTTGAATCTATGCAATTGTCCGAAAATATCATGTTCTCCACCCTAATGGGCACATGTGTCGATTTTCCATTCGTAATATATTTACTTTGATTCTAATTGTTTTGGACAGTTTTATTTGGATGCATACGAATACCGCTCGAAAATGCTCTTTTATGCCATTTAGTTTTGAGCGCTGAACATGCAATTCGATTGATGACGTTTGATAGATTTTTCTGTTATTGTTGTTTGGTTTTCGTTTATAAAAGATAATCCAAAATTCAAACCTTTTGCTTCATTACATTGCGTTGCATTTTTTTTCTCTTCTCCAATTGTTTCTCGTTATGTTTGAACAAGTTTTTTTTTCGGGAACATAATTAAAGGCTGCAATGAAGCCAACGTGTGATGGCTGGTAATGGAAAACACAATGGCAGTTATATCATTGACACGCAATTCTTCTCTCATTTTCTTCCTATTCCGAACTTATAAATTATTCAATGAAAGCAATGCTAATGCTAATGTGAAATAAATTGCTTTTTTTTTTGTTTACCACGGATTCGTAACATTCTGACGTTTCTCTAGCCGAGTTTACACAACCAATCGTGTTCACATTCGTTTTTCAAATTGCCAGCATATTTTTTCACTCTCTCACTCTCTCTCTCCCGAAATGTATAGCTTCTTTTCGTTGAATTTTCACAAAATTGCCGATAATGGCTTTGTTTTTTTTTTTGTTTCGATTTTCACAGATGAAAATCACTTTTAAATTTTCAAAACAACTCGTTGGTCGTCATAAGCACACATTTTTAAATGAGTGCACGGAATATGGAAGAAAATATTTCCAACTTAGTTAGACTCTCTACTCTCTCACACACATCTAAAAAAACGGACCTTCTATATAATAGCTGAAAACCTCTCAATTCCTGTATGGTTGTCCAATCAAAGTGCTTCAAATCACATGGGGGCCTGGCATTTCAAATTTCACTTTATATCATGTGCGTACGTACGCATTAGATAATTTTCATCACACTTCATGAGTAGCACACAAAATAAGAGAGAAATGAGAGCAGGAAAAAAACTTACACAACCCTGAACATGGTGGCGTTTATTTATATTTTCCCTTTCAAATGGCGTACTAATCGCACGCATTTTTCCGGTGTTTAGACTGACCGGGATGGTCATTTGCAACTATCTACAACAACTCTGATATCAATAATTTTACAACATTTCGATCATTGTTTTTATTTCAACGCAGAAAAAACGCTCATTTTTCCACTTAATAATGTTTGTACATGAACTTACACGAAATGCGCCACGAAAAGGTCACACCTTTCAAAATGACAGCCAGTCTAATGAATCTTATCGTTGCAGTAGTTTTTTTTTCACTTTCCTCCTAAAAGTGTAAACATAAATGTGTTAACATAGATGGAAATTCGCATGTACTTCTGAAAACTCATGATCTCCCGGAAAGAACGCAGAAAAGTGTTTGGTGCCGGGCATCTCTACGAGATGTAAATAAATCCTGAATTTAGTTTTTTTTTCCTGCATCATCATCTTTGCCGCTACTGCCACCGCTGTTGTTGTTGTTGTTCTTTCATCTGTTTACATATGTGTGTACATTGTGCCGTGTGCGCTTCTTTCCAAAGCCTTTACAATTGGCAACTTTCATTGTGAATGAAAATTAGCTTCATTGCAGAGCGCATTTTCCAGCATTTCTGTTTTATTGTGGTTTTATATGTATTCAGAAGAAGAAAAAAAGAACTATAAACGCTTTACAAGTGTTGAGCTGATGTTGGTGCGTTTGTGCATGTGTGTATGATGAGATGAGCCAGCACCGCTGATGCCAGTTTTGAGGCACACACAGGTGCTGCGGGATGCATCAAATATAATTCACTACAATGTGTACCGGGTTTCAATTTATTTATTATCCGTGTGCTCTCCTGCGTGTGCATTATTATTGTTATGATTATGGTTAAACACGCTTCTTAGCAGTGCCGTGAACTACATCTTCGCCGCTTCTAAAAACGTGCAAATGTGCATAGGAGAAAACAACACAAACCAAGGGAGAATAAATGATTTATAATCCTTTTGACTAAAAGTTTTTATTATTTTTTTTTTTTGCTCCGCCGGTACGCGAATTGTTATGTTTACGAATGAAAATTGATGCATGAGATGTGCAATTTTTCCTGCCTTGTTTGCTCTTCAATTCTTCAATGCGAAGAGTGCGTAGTTTTCATCGTGAAAAACATTGCACGCGCTTTGATTTAACAATTAAAAACACACGTATGAATATGACGAGTCAAACACAATATTTTTGTACGTTCTTTTGATCTCTTTATGCGTAGTTATGTACTCTTAGGCAAGATTGACACACACACACCCGTTTCGATGCCATCAATGTTTGTTTACGCCACACTCTAATGCTTCTTTGTTAGATGCCATCGATTTTTTTGTCCGGCATTTCTCGCTCTTTTTTGTTCTCTTTCATCGAGTTAAAGCGAAAGAACGATGTCAGTGAAAGTTCGCTGTATTATTCCACAAATTGTTTTTCATTTCAACGTTTTTCAGATATGATTCTGGTTTTCCATTTAAAATATCGGTTGTCCTTTGAACCATTTCAAATGAAAATGCCCCTAATAAGAATGCTGAACGTTATTTTAAGACTAACCTGTATCATACGATCAGATTAAATCTAAAAAAAATCTTGAATTTTTCTAGTAAGTGTTTAGAGAATCGCTCTTTTTCTTACACAAAAACGTCCGCTACAATTGAAAGATATTTGATTTAATAATAGAAAATGAATTGAACAGTTAAAATTCTTTTACAGAAAATACAGTTGATTATTGTATGAACATCGTTCGCAAAAAGCATTTGAAATATGAAATTGAAAAGAATGTCAACTAGTGCCATCTGTTATTTCGGTGTCGCGTTCATAATATTAACACTGCAAACTTCCATACAAAGCCCTCTTTCATCAATGTGCTTTCACTGACAACTATTTTATAACACTTTGGTAGCCTTCAATTCGTTTCATGATAAATAAATTTTCGTTTTACTATTATTGTCAAACAAAAATTATTCAATTGTTGGATTGGTTTATTTTCTCGTAATTTATTGGATTGAAAAATAAAAGGCATTGTGCCATGTATGCCCTTTGTCCCGAATAAATGTAAATATTTGTTTGTGAACTTCAAACAGAAAAGTCAAATTGTTTTGCTATACGAGAGAAACCGACAAGATGGCTACCTTCAGGTTGGTTTGCCCTTGACAATATCAGACATACTTATGCAGGCGTCCAGTACACACAACACATTGTCGTCAATCAACGAGAAGTCAAAATATACACACTTCTTGGTTAAGTAATTATTTTCACAACATAAACATGGAAGTAGTACCAAAAGAAACTCTTCGCGAAAAAATCCACGGTTTGTATTAAATTCACGGTTTGTTTTGTCGTCAAAAAGAAAAATCACCAATAATTTCATTTGATGCGAAGCATTTTAAAATCAATAATTGTGACAATGGCGAATAATGCAACTGTAGTCGAAAATTTTCAGTGGTTCAGTGCCGGTCCATTGTTCTATCTGCCATTTGTAGTGTCTAGCAATGCAAAACAGAGAGATATTTGTTCACAACAATTCATTCGGATATCGAATTGGTTTTGTTGTTTTGTTCAAATGTGTATTAAGCACTGTGATTCATATGGATTGACGTAACCTAACATTGAACGTAATAATTTGCATGATTTGTTGCTTGAAAAAACACCTTTTTTTTCCTCTTCTGTATAGCAATACTTAAGAATGCCAACCTTGAGCAGACTTCATCGAAAAAGGTGCGTCAAACACTGGAAGGCATGTTCAAATGTGATTTCACAGATCGACGAAAGGAGATTGATAAAATGGTGATGGACTACGTCAATTCGATACAGAACGACGAAGAAAGTGAATCGAGCGAGGAAGAGACAAAGAAAAAATCACCACCGAAAAAAGCGGCGAAAAAACGCAAGACAGACAGTGACAGTGATGCCAGTTCAAACAATGACTCAGGTGATGATTACAAACCCGAAAAGCCTGCACCACGAGCAAAGAAAGCGAAAAAAGCGGACAAAACGGAAGCTGGCGCCAAAAAGAAGGGCACTGGCAGAAAAGGTATATGAAAATTTTCTGAACAAAACCAACACACGTGTAGCCAAACTAAAAAGTATGATGACAAAACAAATGCTCGGCCAATATTTTATGCCAAATATGGACATGCTTCAGTGCTGCACATTTGTGTATTTCAATTGTTTGGAATTGACGAATTTAATCGCTCAGTGACTAAATTACTCGTTGAATATTTCAGGCACTGGATTCACACGACCATATCAATTGTCACCGCAGCTGGCCGCTGTCGTTGGTTCCGACATGCTACCACGTCATGAGGTAGTGAAACGTGTCTGGGCCATCATCAACGAACGCAATCTCTACGATCCGAAAAACAAACAGTTCGCCATTTGTGACAGTCAACTGCAAACCGTTATGGGCGTCAAGAGATTCCGTACATTTGCTATGTTAAAGTACCTCAAATCGCATTTCCTCGGCTAATTTACGCAACGTTATACGTTCACATTTCATCGATTATGTTTTTTTTACACGATTTCTTTTTTGTACACATACAATAATAATCGGAAGAAACAAATCTAGTGCTATACTGAATAATAGAAAGATACGATTATTTTTAAGGATCACAGTGTTGATGGACACTAAAAAGAATTGTCAATTTGCACACAATTTTCGGTCGTTGTTTTTTTTTTTTTAAATCATCACTGCTTGAGCACAGCAAGACGTACATTATAAGGTTTTGGACTTCCATCGAAAGAGATGGTGAATACAAGTTATATATATCCATCTTTCTTTCTCCTCGAAATCGAATTAAAAACCTTATAATATATGTCTTGTTAACTCCCTGTGTGCTTGAGTTTAAATCATTTTTGCTGCACAAGCAAAAAATAAAATTTTGAAGAGAGAAAAAAAAGAAGTATTTTTATAATCACACCACCGTCAGTTACATTCACTGGATATCCATTTCGATGGGTCTGATCAAAACAACCGAAAACCGCGTGCAAATAGACAGTAACTAAAGTTGGTTAATCTTCTTAATGTTACAAACAACCGAATAGTTTTCCAATTCCTCTCAACATCGAATTGCTAACCAGAAGGGGAAAAAACAAGCAAACAAACCGAGAACATTCATAATAATGATGAACTGATAATTATCGCGAACTTTCTAGTACAACGGGCACCAACCAAATCATCATAAATTTATTTGTAGTAAAAACATTTTAGTTAATAATTTAAATTCACCATTTTCTAAGCAATTAACGGGATATTCTATGTTGATGACAAAACACGATTGATGCGCCATGGAGCCGATTAATATCTAAATTGAAACAGAAACCCAATACAAATATCATCAATAGAACCAGATTAAATAGACTCGACCATATTTTGTTCTTTTTTTTTAGATTAGAAATAACATTTTGCGTTTTTTTTTTGTTATTTTTTTTATATGATGCATTTTTTCAACTATTTCGAAATTTAAAATAAAAAAATAACAACAACAACAAACAAACTATAAATAAAGTGAAGAATTTTGCGAAAAATGTGGAATATTTGAATTCATTTGTAGGTTGAATCCTTGAGAATCCAAGCTAGCGATCGGTTTGTGTGCCAAACGACGATTGGCAGCTGGTTTGTGTGGATTTTGTTTGATAATTTTGAAGATTTGCCAATTTTATGGCTTCTCGCCGCATATCCCACACATTCCATGCATAATTTTTATCTTTTGCAAATGGAACGGGATGGACATCCGTTTGAATTCCAACTGAGCATTGTTCTAGTCTGTCCATGGTGTTTTGGTCATAATTGTAAGTATTTTGGTTTGGTTTGATTCCATTTTGTTCCAGTAAATCGTACATATCAAAAAATAGTGCTAGTTCAGGATTTCGACAAATCGTCTCATTTATATTGGCCACACATCTGAAATTCCATCGAAGAAATACATTAATTGGTTGCGCTTCAAGCAATGTATTCAACAAGTAATTTATCAATATTGTTCAATCCCAACTGCAAAAATATTGACGGCGAATTTAATTAAAATTCGATGTTGTTCATTGGGTGCCTAACCAAAGGCAGTCAGACTGCCATTCAATATATTTACACCTGGGACGATTTTATTGTTGCAGCAAAAAATGTGGATGACATTTTCTGAAACCAAAATAATTCACAATTATTTCAATATTTCACTCACGTCTCAGGGTTTTGAATGAAGCAGTCAGCTGCAGCCACGGTACTAAATGCATAATATTGATTTTTAAATTGAACTAAGCCATTGGTGAGATCAGCAGGCAACAACAATCCACCACCACTTGCGAGAGACAGAGTCCATGCGCAAAATGCTTCATATTCAATCTAGAAAAAAAGACGAAACATTTTCGAACTTTAAATTGTTTTCTGCCACGCAAATCAGAATAATTCTATTGAAATTATATTTCTTTCTGGAGCCACCGCATACGATACGAGGGAAAATGAAAATGGAAAAAAAATCGGCAGTCTATTTAATGGATACAATTGATTGGTTTTTTTTTTATTGAAATTTATTCAAAAACTCAATAGTTATAAAACATAAAAGAATTAATATTAATATTTTGGCTTTTAACGTCCGTCAAAATACGCTCATGGACTTGAAGTCGATTCATAGCATTTGAAATCTGCCGAAAAAGTTTGCAAGAGACTGAGTGAAAAAAATCTAAAATAAATGCGAAAAATTACTCAACGAACTGGCATTGATTATGCGTGTATATGTCGGAAACATAGCGGCGACGGACGGTATGAGGTTCTGCAAACTTAGTCTTAGTATCCATAAGCCGAATTGATTTTCAATTTCGTGCGTTTTGGCATAATAGCTACATTGCTGCTAGTGCTAGCGTACTGTTATGCATGACACATATACACACAAGGCCAGTCGAGGAAGGAAGGAAAAAAATTTAAACAGCAACAGCTTTCAATTTATATATGACGGCATTAAAAGGTGTACGTGCACATACCTTTAAATTAAGTTCGTATGGAACAATTTTAATCTGTTCATTGTTTGAACCGTTCATAATTTTCGGTTGTCCAACCTTTTGGCCTGCACCATAACTGCTCTTATCTCCATTAACGTCGCCGTTAACACCATAATTCGGTGACGTTGTCAATGCTTGTAGATCCCTTACACAGCTGCTGTACGAATGATTGTGTGCAAGAAGCATCAATTGCTCATTGACCGTGTTTATCTCGGATAAAATGTACGTTTGATGTTGTAATTGCTCCCATAACTTTGCCAGCTCAATGAATTTTGGCTATCGGATCAACGGTTCCGGAGTGAATTAGACGCCAAAAAATGTACGAACAAACGAACGAACCAATAAATTGAAACACGGCGAAAGAGAGAAAGAGAGAGATAAAGAGAGAGAGAGAGAGAGAGAGAGAGAGAGAGAGAGAGAGAGAGAGAGAGAAACATACACAATCAATCGACACACAAAACATGAACAAACTGCTGAAAGGCAACTTGGTTTTGAAAACAAAACAGAAAAGAAAAACAAGAGAAGAGATCGCTGATTGAATTTTACGCTTAAAAATTTACCGAAGGAAGCACTGTGCCAAACAACGGTTCGAAAGAAGTGAAAACTCAAATACCATGCAATTTTAATTGAAAATAATGTGTTTAAAGTCACTAACCTGCCGGCAAACGGGCGCCCGTGAAACAGAAAAAAAAGCGAAACAGACTTACGAATATGCTGGTGATTGGTATTGCCGTACGGAATTTCACAATTTCGTGAATCCGGTTCAATTGACTGCGAAAATTCTTCAAACAACGGTCGATGTGCTTTTGATGATCGGCCAGTGTGTTCAATAAATCGTACAAAAAACGCTCACATTGGCGATTTAATGTAATTGATTTGATGATATTGTTATTTTCAATCAAGCTCGAAAGCATATCGAACGATGCTAGCTTCCCGAGTGGTGCCATTAACAATTCAGTCCTGTCCGTGATCTCTTTCAATGACGTACACAGCTGCAATTTGGTTGTTTTGTATCCGCTGCGAACCGTCTTTTCGACTGAACATTTTTTGTTTCGGTGAAAAGAATGGAACAATGGTGACATCAATCAAACGAGATTGGAAAATTGGTCAAGAGCAAAAAAGGAAGAGAGAAAGAGTGGAAGGGTAAGAAAGAGCAACAAATCTGTGAACTCATCACTGAATTAACGGTTGAATCGGTTAATGTGAGGATTTTCGGTCTCTCGCTGCGATTCACTTCTTTTTTTATTCTTTTATTTTTCTTTAAATTTACTACAGCACACGTTCGGTCGGTTGAGCGAATGAAATATTCCATTTGCACGCAACGAATAAGTAATTGCCGAGAAATGCTTGGCTCGTTTTCGGCCGACGCATGTTTATTTTTTGAATCTTTCGCATTATCTGTTTGAGATGAACACAAGAAGAAATGGGGAACATAGTGAGCATGAAACATCATTCATTATTGTCGTCGTCGTCGTCATCGTCGTCGTCAACTTTCTGTTAAAAGAACGATTGTAGGTGTAGTGCCAGACATCTGCTCAAAAGCACTTGCTCTTGATATGGTTCAAATGCATGTGAGCAAAGTGGAATGTCAAACCGATTTCTATGATTCCGGTTATCTTACAGAAAAAAGCATAAACAATTTTTTTCTTCGTTTTCCTTTCTGGTTATTTTTTTTCCTCTCCATCTATTTCAAAAGTAGATTCTTTATTTATGATTGTGCGACGTGATTTAGTAAAAGAACTGAATGCTCTCCGTAGCAACCATGTTGGCCATGATGACCCACAGCATTCACAATGAAAGAAAGCTAAGCAAATGTCGGTGTGAAGCCAAAGCATGCCACAATATTTTTGCGACTCATGGGGCGATTTATTACTCCTGCAAAAAGCCGTTTTTGTGGACTATTTTCATCGCATTGTGAATATCGTCTAGCCGAAATGATTCCATTCAGAAAGAAAAAAATATATATCGGATCACCTCTATTGATGAGAAGTATCACAATTTACCGTTCTTTTTAGCATGCGATATGCATTCACCGATTTTATTGATATTCAAAATAGAAGTTCATTCACATTTTGTACCTTTTCCATTATGCTAAAGGGCCGAAGGTTCATCGTATCAGATACTAGTGGAAAATGTTGACGCAATTCTCCATTGCATGTATCGCGTGTGCAACGTATGTGACCGGCTATATATACATTTCGTTTCTTTTTATGAAATCGGTAGGTTTTAAGTGACACGTCCGAAAGTCCCTTTTATGACAAATAAACAGTACTCGGATATACTTACGGTCGACAATTCCTTCACCACAGTGGCCGGCATCTTTATTGAACGCTCTCATTCCGCATACAATCTCTCGGATACCCGATAATGATTCGATTTTATCTTTTTCACACAATGCCGAAAACGCCATTACATCATTCACAGACATCATACTCTTTAGAGCATTTATTGTTTCTTGAACAACCTTTCACGCGCACATATGCATACATACACACACACGTATAGTCGTCAACATGCCGTACACCGCCCGCGGAAACCAATTCGCGCCCGTAAAGTATGAAATTGATCATAAAAACGTATTATAAATGGAATTTTTATGTACAATGGATATTTTGGTGATATGGTGAGTATATAAGGACAGTGAAGAAATGTATATGATTCCCCGATATAATGTTATCACACACACGTTTACTCACACAAGTCGTTAACTAACCTGGCCATTCTCCGAATTTCCCAATGCATAATGCGCGATAATGTCCACTGCCAGCTTTTTCACATATTCATCACAATCGATCTTTGATTTCAGGCGTGTATTGATAATTAAACGGGTCAACGGCTCCATTTTTTCATTCATATCGGTTTGATGTTTTGCAATTATTCGATTTTTATCGATATAATGGTTTATGTAGTATACCTGCATGTTTACTATGGCAACAAATACGCTGTCTGGATCTGCATCCACCATTGTACAAAATGTAGTTGTTGTGTTTGCGGCATATCAGCAACCGAATATGAAATGAAAAAAAGAGTTAGAGAGGTGGACAGATGGAGAGAGAGAGATCGAAAACGCATAATCAAATTTGATTGCGTGTAATGATAATTCATTCATACACGTGTTGAACGATGAATTACCAGAAACAATTTGCAGATAGTCTTTGATTAATATATTCACCGCAGACCGGTCAAACAAATGTCCACAGCCGATGCCATACTTTGGATTCAAACTCAATAACTGAATCAACCACAACGACAAATCATAGTCGAGCGAAAAATTTAATTTAATTTGTGTTTCGTTATCAATTTCTTGAGCTATCTTTCGGAATAAAATATGTGGTGACTGTTTTTTGTATCGATTTATTTGCAACTTTGGTCGGATGTATTCCATTTTTGATGTGCGGTTGGTCAAGTTGAAGCTACCGTTCAAACGAAAAAAATTAAACATGAATAAGCACACACAAAACAAACTCGGACCACCGCGTTATTGTTTATTCTGAAATGAGTTTAGATAGCAACGAAACAAACAATTGTGACCTAAATTCTGATTCAGTATGTCTGAACGGAGAGGGTGGTATACAAAATAAATGGCCAAGAATCTCACAAACGCCAACGTTATATACACTATAATTGAATTTATGAACGAAAAAAGTATTTGATGCGTTTCACTGTCAATTAAAATTCAAGTGGTTCGCTTCACAACATTCAATTATTGCTAGAGAGAGAGAGAGAGAGAGTGTGTTATTGTTTTTTAAATTTTCGGCTTATGGCTGTTTAATCGTACCCTTGCGTTGTCATGACAATAATTGTAGTCGATATGTATTTGTGGCTGAGCTTTGGAATTCCAATCCGCTTATGTCTATGTTGGTATTTTTTTTTCTTTCGTTTTCTTCTTTTCGCATGCGAGAAAGATTATCTATGTTTAATCACAAGAAAATTAAGCTTCAGTGGCGTATACATTTCTAAACCTATTGCCCGAATTAAACGCGTTTTTTGTCGTTCTGGTTGGGCTTTTTCCCCCTCTTTGTACATGGTAGTTCCGTGGCCAAGCTTGACGGTGGTGCTCTGCATTACATTCCATAGCAAATCGTAATTTGTAATCATACCATTTCAATTAAAATCACATGATTTCATTATGCCACAGACACTCAAAAGTCCCGCATGAACACATCTATCACAACCATACTTACATTACAGAGAAACAATTATAATCCTAACGATGAATAACAGTCTGATTTGAGTCTATGATAAATTGCATTGACACTGACCAGTGCACGAGTTGCATAGTGATGAGAACGTGTGGCCTCTTTTTTTTCTTCTCAACACTCCCGACACTGACAGCATTAAATGCAATGTGTGCGAATGTGTTCGAGTGTGAGTGTTTGCGTGTGTGTATGTGTCTGTTTCTAATGAATTAAATGGAGTACCATAACAAACACTACAGCTATGGATACCAACCTAATGATGTCGTTTTTATTGCTCCTACCGTGCAATTAAGCGGTTGGTAATGCATTAACATGCGGCTTCTGTAAAATTTTACTAAATTATATTGGCGCATCGGGAAAACAATATTAGTAAATTGCTCATTTGTATTAAAACTAGGTTACCAACAAGTGACGCGTGGTGTGGCACCAACACTTTTTACCCATTCAGCATAGAAGACAGCTTCTATTCTTGTTTTTCTGTTTACTTCTTCGAACGAAGATGAAAAACAGCGAAAAGTAACGACTTTTTGCCACATACACAAGGCAAAATTCAATTTATGAACATTTTTTTTTCATGACATTACTCAATTGATGAATGGAAGGTCATAGCAAACGATCGATTTAATTGGCACTAAATCAAAATTAATAAAAGATGTTTGTTATTGGTTCCGTGATTTTTTCTCATATCTTCAACTAGCTATCATCTGGAGTTTCTCAATCGCCAAATAGTATGTGTTTATTATCTGCTTTGTTGTGGGAGAGGAATATGCTCTTAGGGCTATCGGTGCAGAAATGGAATCGATGCCATAGCACAACAATTCATAATAAATAAACATGGTATGATTGCTGAGTTGCTTAAACGCAAATGCTTCGTTCAGCAAAAAGCCAATTACATTTGCTAGCCAAAAAGCAAACCGATGATGGCATTCATGACAATTGTCAAGTATGCTTACATTCTGCAGCTCCATTTTCCGAATGAAAAACTTGTCAAAATGTGCAATTTATTTTGCGTTTATTTTTCAACCAATTCCACTTAGTTCACATCAACAATTCGTTAGGAATTTCTCCAAAGTTCCGTGCATTTCAACTGACTGCAATTATAAATAACTGAGCAAACAATTATACCACTTCAATGCACAAATAAAATTAATAACCATAGTTTTGTTTCATCAAACGTAACTTTTTTTTCTTCGTTTACCTCTTTTATGCTGTTCAATTGCCGTTGTTTATTATTACTGCTCACCAAGGAAACGGTAAGTTGGTGGTTTTCTTGGTATTGTGCAACCCACAATTTCTTAAAATTTTATTAAGTTATAAGTTATTGACAAATAAACATAAAAACAAGCCAATTCCTTCGGTTCCATCACTCGAAGTATCGTCTATCGAACATGTTTAATTTTTCAATGAAGAAAATTCAACGAAACAGTTGCATACAACTATTAAGCTCTCGTTCTATCTCGCGCGCCCACTCTCCATTTCTCTTGCACTTCTCTTCATGCCATGCGACATGAATGTGGTTTCGACGAAACTACTGTGCAATTGTCATTCAAAATAAGCACCGCATTGAATGTGCTACACAAAATTGAATGGCAATCAAGAACTCGTTCAACTCAAGGAAGGATGTGAAGCATGATAAAAAAAAAGAAAATAAGCTACTTCGTTTCTTCATTCAAGTTGCTTTTGGGCATCGCAGTCAGTGTGAAAAGACGTGCACATTTGCTGGAGCCAATAAATCGAAAGTAACATGTGTTATGGGTGGAAAAAAACATCTATGTCTGTGGTGTCTATGGCATATATGAGGCTGTGAGAATGAAAATGGCAATACAGGAATAAACATTCTGCAACGCATAAAGAAAAAGAAATTCGCAAAAATGATTCATGAGTTCTGAATATACAAAAGTGAAACATGAATTTACATGGGCAGCATAGGAGGTTCATGGCTCACTTTTGCGTATTCAGAACTCATGATTCATTTTTGCGAATTTCTTTTTCTTGATGCGCTTCAGAATGTTTATTCCTGTATTGCCATTTTCATTCTCACAGCCTCATATAAGGAATATTGTGTTTGGAATATAATTATGAACATCCTCCCCCAATGGATCGTTTGATGAAAATTATTCTATTCAGTTGATTTTCAATTGAATATTTCACTAGAACGATGCATAGACAATGAATATAGGCTAATTTACTGATGAAGCACTGCTGTGGAAAACAAATTGTTCATTCACCATCCGTACATGAGTTAAGTGTGTGCTGAAGCAAGAGTTGTCTTCTTCACAAGAAACTGAAATATTAATACCGTCATTCCCCAGCGTGTTGTTTACAAATTGAATCGTACACATACATATACACATTCAAGCAATTGGTCTACTTCCTTCCTTCTCTCTCTATCTCTCTCATCCCATGGTTACAATTACACATAGCTTTGTACCACAAACTTGAAATATTTGTAAACTAACCAATTGTGGGCACACAATTTGAACACACAGCTCCAGACCAAACCATACATTTAAGCGTATATCGTTGAATCATGTGCAAAATGTGCATTGGGAATATACGGTTTACTAAATTGTATGACCAATTTCATGTGAATTTCCATCGAAGGAAGCTTAGGCAAACAGAAATATTGTTATGACAGATCAGTAATACTGTATTTGGTGCAATTTTATCTTAATGTATGACATATTTTCACACCTACTTGTTAGGTACATGTGTAAATAACCGATTTATGAGTGTTTGCTAGCGGATCGGTAGCATATCGTATTGTTGAATTAAAAATTCAGTTGCTCCACCAAGAGTAACGGTTTCATTGTTTGAATGAAAATTGGATTGACACGAACACCATAAGGCAGCAAACCATTATCCCATTTCTCCAATCATTTCCGTTAGTCGGATTTCGAATCTGGACAAGTTGTAGTGCGCAATCCATGCGAATGCGATGATAGGGGAACAGAGCAAACATGTTTGCCACAGCTGTGTGACATTACCCCTTACTGGGTGTGTGCTATCCACTGCTTCATTCATCATCAATGGACTGTTACACTACGCATAGGCCCTCACACATCGACTAATCGCCAGAGAGATCCGCGAACAAACAAACAAGCAAGCGGAATATTTTAAAAATTGATCCACACACACACACAGGATGTTTGCGTGATTATGAAAAAGAGCACAAGCTCAAACGCTACTGGATCGTGCAAAATTGTGGGTTTGCTCATATGGAAAGCATCGAGTGGAATCACGCAGAGACCGAGAGTGTGAGCTCTCAGAAATAACAAAATTTATGTAATTTATTGTTGTATCTGTCGGCGGTTTATATCAAATTAACTTTCATCGTTAGTCGCCGTCAAAATGATAATCTGAATTCCATTGGCCGATTAAATTAGTATTGCATTCGATCAGAGGAATGCTTCGAGCAAATATTGACATTCCAATTATTTAAGATGTTTGAAATCGGCCTTTGCTTTTACGCTCGATCGCTTCCATACAAAGAGGGTTTTCCGGAAGGAGAGAGAAAGAAGTAGAAAAATGCGTTAGTTTGACTGCTTTTTGTTGTATCCCCAATAGAAAACAAAAGTTTGGAATATAACGAATGACAAACGATACAAATCGTTTGATCCATTTATCTCCATCGATGGCCTGA